GGTACCACAGAGGTTGGCGTGTGTGAGGTTACAGCGGCTGAGGTTGGCCATCTTGAAGTTGATGTAACGCAGGTCAAGACGAGAAAGATCTGCCCCACTGAAATTCAGGCCCTAGGAGAAACAGTTTACATTGAGATAATGCACAATACAATAAAAATGAAACCAGTGCAAATATTCAGTTGCTTCCTACCTGACATCTAAGCTCTGATTTAGTTGGAGTGGCAAGCAGAAAACGCACAAACTCTTTGCGGGAGATGGGCGAGTGATCATCGGGAGGCTGAGAATTCTGAAGCAGGACATCATTGTTATTTATTTCCACATTGAATAAGTCACTTTTTCACCTTTATATAACTTCTTCAGCCTAGTTTTTACCTTAACAACACCTTCAAGCTGCTCAGCAAGACGTTCGATTCCAAAGAAACGAGCTTCTTCAAGCACGCCTGCATAAAATAATTTTCCATAGGTACTCATTTCATATGCAAAGAGCTTAGCCAATCATAACAGAGCTCATTTGCATATTAGAACGTCAGTTACACACACACACAAAAAAATCAAAGGTACAATACCAAAAGCAGGATATATTCAGAAAGAGGGAGGAAAATGCTCATTGAAAACTAAATTATGATGATTTTCGGTAACAACCCTTTTGGAAACACTTAAAATGCTACAAAACGGTACATGTCTCCACTGTCTTACCCAGCAGATTGATGCCGTCATTGATAATGAGCTGTCCGTGTCTCAGGTAATTTAATATGGGCTCAAAGTAATCTGGACTCCGATCAATGAGATACGCCCCTTGCTCGTCCTGTTTGTTTCCCCAAACATCTGCCAGGAAATGACAGGCAAAAAAGAGCAGGATGAATAAAAGCAGTAAGGCAGCACATGCACAAATTATATTTTGAACAGTAGACAGAAAAATCATCAGTTCAGTCCTCACCCTTGTCTCTGAACATGTGAGCCAACATACTCTCCGGTTCTTTGACCAAAGTGCTCCTAACAACCACAGAAAAGTGTTAAAGTGTTAAAT